GTTGTAAGTACATGTGTTTTGCTTGTCTCATAAAACGGCCATCCCGACATTTGTAAAGGACTTTGAAATTTCAAAGGTATTTAAAAAACAAAGTGAAATATGGCCGTCATGTAAAAAAAAGAAAATTCTTTGGAATTGAAAGAGATACATTTTCTTTGGTGCACAAGGACGTATAGGTATGGAAAATGTCTTTGTAAAATTTTATACTTGAATATCTTTGAGAATTTGCAATATTTATTAAAAGAAATATCTAAAAGACTAATATAAATATATGTATACACGACCACATCCTCGAATTTCGTCCATCGAAACTTCATTCGCGTAAAAAAAATAAAAATAACAGTGCAAGGAAAATCTTAAGTTTTGAAATGACACAAAAATATGCTGAAACACGTGACCTTAACTGAGGGTCGAAGAGTACGGATCTCTAGACCGTTTTTCCACAACCGGTAATTTTTCCAAGATATTATAATTTTTATGAAAAAAAATGTTCAATCTTTAACGAAGAAAAAATTAAAAAAATAAATCTTTTTTAATGTTTTTAAATTTTTTGTAAAGCCTGTTCTTTTCCCAAAGGATCAAGCTTTTAGTGATTAAAATTGGTTGATAAATAAACAAGTTTTAAATGGTCAAATTAAATTGTATAATAACTTTTTGTAAGAAATAACGCCAGGAAATAATGTTACTCAAACGCCACATCGTACAAGGCCGTACTAGTATGTACTAGACTCGTACATGGCGTATGAGTAACATTTTGCTTGCTAAGTTTTTAATTTTTTTTTCGTTCGCAATACAAACCTATAATGAAAATTTCTTGGGAAAGTGACCTGATCTAAAAAAACGATATACACATCCCTAATCTGCGACCCAAAATTAAGGTAACGTGTCTCGGCTTTTTTTTTGGGGATTTTAGTGTCCCTTCAGTGTAATGGTGAACCAAAAATTTATTTATTTTTTTAAATTCTAGAGAATTTTTCCCCTTGATACCAATACTGATATTCTACATTGCCAATCATTTTTAAAAAAAAATTTTTAATTAAATATATCCTTGAAATTTCAAAGTCCGTTAAAAGAAGACATCGGAGAGAAAGGCTATAAATGCAGATTTACTACATTTGGCACCTGGTTTCGTGAATTGATTTAATTGGAAATTTTCTGGTTTAAGTCGCAAGGTGTAGTTCGAACTAATCTCACACGAACTGTGAAAAATATAGCTACAAGTAGTTGCAGGTTTTGTTTGCAAAAAAATTAGCTGGAAAAAAGTTGCTGAGATTTAAAATAACGCCGAACAGGTATGAAAAATCGCTTCAGATTTTCTCCTAAAATAATTTTATTCTGCTGTCAAATCGTGCTGATTTATGTACATATGTATGTTTCTTTAATCCTTGTCAAGCGTATCACTCTGTATGTGTAAATGTATGTGTGTGTGTGTGTGTGTGGTGTGGTGTGTGTGTGTGTGTGCTTGTTAGAGTAGTTGGTGCGGTGTCTACTTACAATGCAAANCAATGCAAACGGCTATTATTTGATGGCGGCGTACTGTGCTCCAAGTGTCCACCGGAACCGCTATGATAATATCCACTGCCGCCACCAACAACAGTTGTTGGACCAATGACCGGCTGTTGACGCCGACGTATTTGACCGTGTAATTCCGTTGATTCCGGTGAGTCCAAGCTTAGTGATTTCATGCGCAAATTCAACTTTTGTCGACGCGGCGAATGCGGAGCTGTTGTTTATTTTGTTGTTTTTGGTTTGCAAAGATTTTCATTTTGTTTATTTGTTTGTTGTTTAGTTTTTTGTCGGTCGGTCGATGATAAGTGTGTATCATATTTATGAACAATTTTAATTATTGATATTGTTGTTGTGAAATACAAAAACAATTGTATTTCAATAGCGACACAATTTTTTTTTGTGATATTTTGTCAGTTGTGTACACATGGCGTATGATGAACATTTGATGATGAATTGATTTTGAATTTATTTATTTCGTACGCAAAAAAAAAACAAAACAAATGTTGAAGAAAAAATTTTGAAAAATATGCATTAGATTATTATGTAATTCAGCGATATAACTTATTGCTAAAAATAGCTAAGCAATAAAAACATCACTAGTTAAAGAGGTAAGAAACATTTATGTATGTTTGTATGTAAGTATATACTAATTTAGTTAGCAAAGCAGGTAGAAAACTCTGTTATAAATTCAGTTACACATACATATGTATATGTATGTTCATATGTGTGCATTTGGTGTGAAGTGTATACACAAATAAGAACAGGCCACATGGAGTGGCTAGTGGTTAGAATTTTGGATTGATTGGTTAGTCAGCGCTAGGGGTGAAGGGTTGAGCCGTTAAGTTAAACAAAATTTTGGTGAATCGGGTAAAAAGCAGACGGGCCAATTCGTGAGTATAAATTGAGACTTTTCACATACAAATTTCGGAAGGTGACTTTACATTATTGTTTGTGTTGAGATAGTGTGCAGTTTACGGAAATGTAACGAATGCAAATTGATTTAACAATCAAAACAATCAATAACACCAAGCACGTGCAATAACACAAAATGAGTGTCTTAAATCTAATTTGCTTATGCTCCATTTAATATCTGTGAACATGGATACGTGCTATTTCTAATTCGTGCTTTTTATTATCGTTTCATGCTTTTTATTGTTAATACGTGCAGTTGCGGTAATATTTCTGCGTTCGTAAAAGTATACGAAGAATAAATTTTTATTGCATTTTAAAGGTGATTTTCCTTTTGCATATTCATTAGTTTCAAGTAATCAAAAAATATATTTTTGCGAAGAAACACCAATGTAATTAAATATGTATATACTTAGGTTAACATAATAATAAACAGTTAAATGAATAAGTTCAGTAAAATATTATAATTTTGCGCGAAACTAAAGTAGAAGAAAAAAAAACTTTTCTTAACGCAATATGTTTTATCTATCATCAACAGTTGTGTGTTCTGCATTCATCGATCGTTGTGTGTCCAAAAAGCAGGCAAGTCTGAATTTTAATGCTCTCTCCTATGCATAGGATTGTTCTATATCGAAAAAAATAAAGCATTATTTTTTATTTTGAAATCAAAAAATATTTAGAGCTAGATCAAAGCGCTCAAAATTTTCCATGAATTCTATATGGAAAAAACAACTTTTCATAGAAGTGGTATATGATTCTTGAAAATCAACATTTTTCCTCCTCCTGAAGAGAAACAGAGTTTTCCGATGGAAAAATATTGACTTTCAAGAATTTCATGCCATTTCTACGACAAGTAGTCTTATATTATTTACAGGGACCGCAAATAACGATTATCCTTTGAAATTTCAACTCAAAAAATCACGCGGAAAGAGAAATGCTACGTGCGTAAGGAGTAAAGCAATATATTTCGTATTACTCGGAGTACCATNACAGGGACCGCAAATAACGATTATCCTTTGAAATTTCAACTCAAAAAATTACACGGAAAGTNAATCGTTATTAACTGAGTTTTATTTTTTGCTCGGAAAATAATCGTTACGTTTTAAGTTTTATTTTTTGCTCGGAAAATAATGATTACGTTTTAAGTTTTATTTTTTGCTCGGAAAACAATCGTTATTTCTTGAGTTTTATTTTTTGCTCAGAAAATAAAACTTAATTTTTGCGTATGCGTATGCGCATGCGTGAATAGACAGGGGGCGGCTGCATTGAACCTTTAACGCAACTGTGGAGTGGGTAATGAAAATACAGATACCAGGGCAGAAACAAGGAGAACCACATTTCTAAGGAAAAAGTGCAAAAAAGCGCATACGCATACGCAAAAAATATGTTTTATTTTCTGAGCAAAAAATAAAACTTAAAACGTAACCATTATTTTCCAAGCAAAAATTAAAACTTAAAATGTAACCATTATTTTCCAAGCAAAAATAAAACTTAAAACGTAACTCTCATTTTCCGAGCAAAAAATAAAACTTAAAACGTAACGATTATTTTCCGAGCAAAAAATAAAACTCAGTTAATAACGATTTAAAAAGTGATTTTTATAATAAAACTTATAACCGTTACGGTCCCTGATTATTTATATTAGACAAGGAAAATTTTTAGCGACCTCTAAATACTTTTTGATTTAAAAAAAAAGAAAAATAGGGGTATGTTTTTTTCAATATAGAACAATCATAGGCGGTGAGAGCATAAAAATTCCGACTTTAATTGTTTCACATGCATTTTTGGACCACCCTACCTACCTACCCTAATAGTTTTAGTTATATAGATATTTTGCACTACATACTTAAAAGTCAGATTCCACAACTTCATTAATATGTAGATAATGTTTGAAATAAAGATTGCATTCGAAAGCAAAGCGTATATTTTTTGTTGAAATTGATGATGAAGTCACTACACTTTATCCTTACACATCAGTCGTCTAAATCAATAACGGCTTAAGTCGACTTACAGGTCAATTCTGGCAGCTATCTTGTTGCAAACTCGTTACTGTCTTTTGAAAGGCTAATTGAAAGATCTACTAACGAGGAGGTCTTAGCGCTTTGTTGTTAGCCTCTTAGCAATAAGTTTTTTAAAAACTAAATTCGATTTAACTTTATTAAATAAAAAAGAATAAAGTAGTACTTAAAAATTAAATAAATATTTTTATACTTAAAACAAAATCTTACATTAAATAAAAACTAAATTTAAAAAGACCAAAAAATAAATCAAAAAAAAAATAACAATAAGATAAACTTAAATGAAAAGAATATATAAAATTTTCCTTTTTAATCAATAAACACTAAACATTAAAAGAAAATGCAATTAACAAAGGAAAATTAACTTAAAATAAAATATAATATAAAAAGTAAAATAAATTAAATTAAACTATGGTAAAAATAAAAAAATAGAAATAAATAAAATAAAGTCTAAAATGAAAAGAAAATTAAACAAAAAAAAGGAGAAATTATTTAAAGAGAAAAATAACTTGCTAAAAGTTAAATGAATTAAAAAAAAAATTTTTTTAAAACAATAATTTCTAATTATTAAAAGAAAATAAATTAAGTTGAGAAAAAAATTAAAAAAAATATATATAAAATAACTTTCTTAGAATTAAATGATATATATTATGTAAAAAAATTAAATGAAAGAAAGATTAAATTAAAAAAGAAAAAAAGTCCGCTGCCCGAAACTCGAACTTAGATCACTCGAAGCGAAAAAATAAATTGTGAATAAAGTAAAAAAAAATAAAAATATATTTTTTAAAATTAGATGCATTTAAAAAAAATTTTTTTTTTTTTTAATGACAACGAAATGTAAAAATTAAAATAAAATTAAATTAGAAGAAGAAACAAGTTAAACCAAAAAATATAAAAACATTATCTACCTAAAAATTAAATGAAATAAAAAAAAATGTTAAAAAAAAATCTAAAGAAATTAAAAAGGCAAAAAAATAAAATTTGGAATTAACATATAAAAAAAGATCGTAAAAATTATATGAAATAAAAAAATTTTATTTTTCTTTTGAAAGCAATAAAATCTAACAAAAAGAAAATTAAATTGAAAAAAAAAATATATATTTAATTAAGAAAAATAAAAATATATAGAAAAAAATTAAATACCTTTCCAAACATTAAATCAAAATAAAAATCCTATATTTTCCTTATTAAAACAATAAATAAAAAAAAACTAAAATAAAAGGGTTTTTAAAAATTGGCTGAATGAAAAAATACATTTTTTAGAGCAATGAAATGTAATTATTAAAACTAGATTTAATAAAAACAAGTAATTTTTAAGCAAAAAACCAAACCGACTTCAATTCTCATATAAAAATTTTAGTTATGCATAAAAAATATACATAAAAATATACATATAATGTACATAAAAAAAGATATTCGGACGAATTGATAACCTTTATCTTTTTTGTGAAATCGGTAAAAAGAAAAAAATTGACCTACGAAAGACTTTTTGCTATCTTAGCCAGAATTGACCTATTAGAATTACTTTGATGACCAATTATTCCTTAAGACTAGCATAGGTTGACTTCGAAGGTTTATTTTCATAAATCAAGCTTTATTAATAACAAATGAATACACAATATATGATTATGGCAAATAGAGACAATTCAAAAGTGATCAGTGGTTTATCCACTTAACTCTGCAAAAAGTCCAGTAAAAAGGCAATAATTTTTGTTCTTAAACATCTAATAGAC